GACTGAAGTGTCTTTAGGCCATTCTCAAAGGCGGGACATTTCTCATTCTGATGCACAGTAGAATTGTAAATGGGCTGATCCAACCATGTCATGCTCATAACTGTGCCTGAACTACAACAGGGAACTGCTGCTTTTTCTTTCCTAATCCTTGCTATTGTCATTTTCCTCAACTTCTTTTGTATGTTTGTCACACTCTTGTGACTCGCTATTTCGGGGATGCCTTTATAGTCAAAGCAGATTTTGTGCTGAAGCTAGAGAGGTGAGCAGAGTAAGTCTGATTCCCTGTAGAGACTTCTCTGTTGACACCCACCCCTTGGCGCTCATATGACCTTATGCAGTTGCGAGCGCCGTAAAACCTCTACTACACCCCCTGGGGCAGTGCCACTGACTGAAGTGTCTTTAGGCCATTCCCAAAGGATGGACATGTCTCGTTCAAGCATAGTAGAATTGTAAATGGACTGACTCATGTCACGCTCATAAGTGTACCTGATCTACAACAGGGAACTGCTGCTTTTTCTTTCCTGATCCTTACTATTGTCATTTTCCTCTACTTCTTTTGTATGTTTGTCACTCCCTTGTGACCTGCTATTTTGGGGTGCCTTGATAGTCGAAGCAGACCTTGTGCTGTTGAAGCTAGAGAGGTGAGCAGTCTAAGTCTGATTCCCTGTAAAGACTTGTTCTCTGTTGACACCCACCCCTTGGCGCCCATATGACCTTATGCAGTTGCGAGCGCCGAAAAACCCTCTACTAAAAAAAAAAAAACAACTAGACGCTAAAAACTTCTACTAAAACTAAAAGAAGTGAAAATGCTTCTCAGTCACGGAAAATCGGCTGGTCCTCTAACACTAACAGATGTGGATATTTATGAACCAATATATTTATATATAAAAACCCAAATCTGCACGACGATGTACCCGCGTGATGCGTGTTGACATGGTATAGGTGACACAGTTCATAAAAATCTAGACCCAATTGCCCCAGGTTTGTCTACTTTTGCTAGAATAGCCTGAAATTCGTATAGATGGAGAAATTCGTACCGGTACATGAAATGATTTCGGTGTTTCGCTGTTTTGGCTCTGCACACATGCCAGACTACTATTTTTTGTATTTTTATTTTCCCTTTTTTTCCCTCTTCAGTTTATTTTTTTATTCTTTTGTTTGATTGTGTTATGTTTTGCATACAAACTGATTTTGTATCTTGTCTTGTGGTTTGTCCAAATCTTTTTCTTTTTTTTTCTTTCCTTTTTTTTGACTCTGGAGGGTTTTTTTTAGCAATTCTTAAGGTATATATGCTCTACTCATATTTATGCAACATTTGGCTCGTTCTATTAACGCATGGTTTACTGAGTATGAACTGAGCTGTCTATAAACATTTACGTGAGAAATCAGTCAAACCTGTACATTTATGATCTAGATCTATTATGGTTACATATTCACCTTTTGTTTTTCTTAATAAACTTGTTGCTGAAGCTGTGTCCTTTGTGAATATGTGCTCACATTTTGTTGTATGGGTAATTCTCTACTGTTCACCTTATTTCTTCAAGACATTTTTCCTGTTGGTAATGTAAGCCCTAGCCCTACCTTTCTCATTGAATAGTTTTCCGGTGAAACCAAGGTTACTTATTCCGAATATAATTACCACTTCAAGTGAAAATAATACTAAAGATGGTAAAAATGCATTATTACTGAAGTCTGAATATGGAATGTGCTTTCGGCAAGGGTTCTCTCCTAAAATTGTATTTTAGTATTAATATTATTAGCGTGTATAGTGTACAGACTTATTTCTGCAACTGACAATTGTCAAGACCTAAGTAATGATTGTCAGAAGAGTAGTCTGAACTCCTTCATCTGTTAACACCAGGTTTTTTTTTTTACCTGTAATTTACTCTCTTCAAATATTTTGATAGTGCATGCTTCATATTTCTTTATTTGCCAAATGTTCATTATTGCAGGGTCAAAGTCAAGATACTGTTTATATTACTTGTTCTCTCTTGTTTTAAACGTAATGTACCAGAACAAGCTAGTGAAGGTAGAAAGTGCTGGCTGCCCTCCTTTGTTCATATTTAAGTGTAGGACATGCGTGATTGTTTGCGTGAATCGTGCATGAAGAGTTTGATCTACTTGCCACATTTGTCAAATTGTATGCAAATAAATCATGAAATACATTCATCACATGAATGTTTTTGTCTACTACACATAGGCCTACTATCTCTTATTTAATTATGTTTATGTTGGCTTTTTTCTTCCTTAGGGTGAAGTGAAACAAACAAACCTATTTTTTGTGGGTGGTTGGCAGGTGCTCTGGTGTGGATTGCTTCCTCTTTCCTACCGAATACCTATCTTCCTGATCTTTCCTCCTTCTGTTATAATGTATTTGTTACATGTACTAACTCTCTTGTAACATCTTTAATCTTCGACATTTGTATGACCTTAATTGTGTCGCGAGTGCTTTAAAACTCTTACTAAGACTAAAGCTCTACTTTTTCTCATTGTTGACAAAATTAAAATGGTTGCAGCAACAACCACCAACACCCC